TACGATTGTCAACCCTAAGTTCTATAAGCACAGGCGCCGCCCTCTACCGTAGGGGCCCCCTGTCCTTTTCCTATGCCGCTCGCTGAAGAGGGTGTCGGATGACAGGTCAGGGAGGTCATAGCCGCCTTATATACATGTGAGCTGCACGTGCATTCACGGTAGGCTGCGCCCCTGATTGGCGCAGCATTGATTGAAAGTAGTCACCCATAGAGCCCGTAAGGGTTTCCCGCCTGTGCTTATCAGAACTGGTACAAATACGTCATAACCACCGTTTGAAGACGGAGACGAGAGACGAGCAGCGTACTATCGATCTAATCGAGTAAACGGAGAGAAAGATGCCTGAAGTGACCATCTACTCGCAGCTTTGCTAAGCGAATTTACCTGCTCTCACTTTTTCGTTGATCTCTCTGTGTTTTGCCTATAGGCTATTTGCTCTGCTCGGATCGCGATGATATTGTGACCTCTAGTGAATAGATCTGTGTTTTCCTTATATTTACAGTCTACGGTGTTGTTAGTGTTGCTTTGTGATGGTGCCCTTTACTGCATGTATTAAGATGCATTATAATATGACATCCCCACACTGTGTACGTAAATGTATGCGCTCAGTGTTGCTCCGTGTTTGTCAGGGTTGAGTGACGCAGGTAGGACCCAAACGCAGATTTAAACAGAAAATACCTTTATTTCAAGGCTAACGAAACAACAGAACTCTTCCCAGTGAACACAGTCAAGACAAACAACAATCCAACAATGACAGACAGAAAAACCAGAACTTAAATGCACACAAGACTAATCACACAAACAAGACACAGGTGAGGAGGGAGGAGAAAACACAGGGGCACAAGGTGAACACAATCAGGAAATCAGACACAGGAGGGCAAACACAGAGACAGGAATCAACAGACAAGACAGTGGGTGAACACTTTTCAAAATAAAACAGGAAACCAGAGACAGACAAATCACAACACAGACAGACCGTGACACAAACAGCATGATTCTACATTAAGTTTTGATAACAGTTAAATATTATTTTAATAAAAACTGATATTTTAATGTTGATGAACTGGTCATTGATAATCTGATTGGAGTACACAGCTGAATAAAAAAAAACACTTGTCATTCCAGTTAGGTAAGGACATGCCTGAAAGACACCGCTGTATCACCATTTTCTCCTTCTCTGATGAAAAAGAACATCCGCAAGGAAAATAAAAAGCTGATGTTATGAGATTCAAGACCAATAAAGGAAATTCACTGAGAAACCACACTTTTATTGTGAAAACAAAGATCTGCACACTGAATAGTTTTGTAGTAACATGCTTCCATGTTGACAGAACCATCATTTGTTTGTGACGTTGCACCTCAGAACAGGTATGGTTATTTTCAGGCCTATGAAGTGTGGCAAAAGAAACACAGTCAGCTGATCAAAGGCACCTTTTTCATTGCTATTTCAACATGTACAATCGATGAGATGATTATTTCTATTTGCCTCATTTTATAAGCTTCACAATGCTTGTGCCTTGTACCGCAGAATTTGTCACGTCACACACAAATGGTGCTAATCTGCAGTCAGATTTGAATGTTTTGTCTAACATTTTCAGATGCTGAATATGAGAGGGGGAACATAAATGTAACACATGCTATAGATAATAAAGAAAGAAAAAGTGACTGTTAAGAGTGGTTCAGTTTTTTAGGTTGACTTTACTATTACTGTATTACTAAAATCTCACGTCTGAAGATTTCATTTAAAAGAAGGAGAGGACCCTTAAAATAAAGATTGGTCTTTCAGTACATTATGTTGATTTTGTCCTCTGAATTGTTTGGCTAAACTCAAGTAGCTAGAACGTGTAATTATTACATTTGTAATGTATACAGTCTGGTTATAACTTAATGTTTTAGATTTTGATATAAACTCATAATTTACTAGATTAAATTATCAACATTGTCGATCGAACTAAACCCATTATTTACAGGATTAGATCTGGGAATTAAATTACCTTAGCGAATAAGCTAACATACTTGCTGCTAGCTAAACATTGTCTCCATTTCATATTCTAACGCCTTTTCGCTGTTTTTACGAACGCCGAAACAACACATATATATTTATAACTCACCTTTTGTTCTTCCATTTGGAATATGGTTTCCTTCGGGACCCTTCTGTCGCGCAAAAAGTCTGTTACCTCCTCTAATGTTCCCTAATGCATTATGAAAGTCTCTCACTGAAGTTGGTTCTATACAGGTACCCATACTTCTGACTTTAATCTCAGAATTCTGACTTTTTTCTCAGAACACATCCTCTTCCGTAGAATTTTGATATTGGAGGGAAATACATTTTTCCCTCCAATATCAAGTGTTCTGCCTTTAAAAACAGTGTTCTGCCTCTAAAAATGTTGCCCCTGGATTTGCACCATATTTAAGTGAGCCTTTTTATTTCTCCTTTCCTGCAGCTCCTTGTCTCCCAACAAACGTTAGGACAGGAGATGGTTGTCACTCTGAAATGTTGATCACAACCTGGGACTCTGCAGCAGGAGCTCTCTCTTACACTGTAGAAGCACAGGGGAACACTGAAGAAACCTACAACTGCACTTCCTCCAACAACAGCTGTGCGATAACGGGAGTTCCATGTGGTGAACATCTCAGTGTGTGGATCGTTGCCTCCAATGACAACTGCTCCACTGAAAGGGTACTGGGAGACGTTGCTCAGACTGGTAGGTACTGGGAGCTCTGTGAGACACTTACTTACATGTGATTTGATTTTTGCTTGTTATTGTCTTAACACAAACTTCTCCTTTCTTTAGTTCCCTGCAAGCCAATTAATGCGTCAGTGACAGTTGACTGCAGCCAAGACTCTGCTAGAGTTAACTGGATAACGAACATTGGTGTTATATTCTACGTTGCCGTCGCTGAGGATGACAATGGGAATGTGCAGAGTTGCAATTCAATCGGCACCAACTGCTTGATCGAAGACCTGAGATGCGGACAGAATTACACTGCCAGCGTTATCGGCACCAACATAAAGTGCAACAGCAGCTCCAGTAACCAAGTTAGCTTTATGACAGGTAGGTCAGAGGGTTGGAAAACATACTAATTCGATTTAAAATGTTGATTCGTGATTATAATTTGAGGAAGAAAAAAACATTGCGACAACATTTTTATTAACTGGAAGCTCTGGTTATCCTTCAAGTTTTTACTAACATCTACCTCCTTTTCAAATGCTCCAAAGCTGGATGCACTGTGCATCTAATCAACTAAATCCTCTGCCTCTCCATCAGCTCCTTGTCCTCCAACAAATATTGAGGCGTTCAGAGACTGTGATGCCAACCATTTTCTGATAGTGTGGCAGAACCATAAGCCCACAGGCCTCTACACAGCAACCATAGTGGATAAGAGCGGGGATCAGCTCAACTGCACCAGCAACACGGTCAACTACTGTAAAATCGGCTCTCTGCCCTGTGGAAGGACATACAACGTCACCGTCACCTACGATAATGGAAACTGTCAGTCCACCTCGACACAAATCACCATGGACTCAGGTAGTAAATTAAGAGGGTTCAACTATTTCTGTTTCCATTGCAAATTACTTATGATGTCACTTCTCCCCTCTTGTTTAAGTGCCATGTGGTCCTGAGGATGTGATGGCCAGTGTGGCCTGTGTTACCGGCGAGCTGACGGTCACCTGGAACATCTCAGTTCCTACAGTAAACTACACCACCATCATCTCCAGAGGAATGGGTCAGCCTCTGTACTGTAACTCTACAGAGACCCAGTGCATCACAGAAGGGTTGATGTGTGGAAGCATCTACTCTGTGATCGCCTTCTCTGTCACCGGGACATGCTTCAGTCTGCCCAGCGCAGAGGTCACAGTGCATACATGTGAGAAACGCAGATTTATCACATTTAAGGATGTAGAAACAACTCTGTCTCAAACTACTCCTCCATCTCTATTTTCCTTCAGTGCCGTGTCCTCCCACAAACGTCACAGCCATGCACACATGTGCTTCGGATCCTGTTCCTGTGTCATGGGTGGCCAGTGACAGCGCCAAATACTACACTGCTGTCGCTGTGAGTGGCGGGAGTCACAGGTCACAGTGCATGACCAACAACACTTCCTGCAGCCTCCCTGGACTCCTGTGTGGGGAGGTTTACACTATTGGTGTGTCAGGAGTTGATGACAACTGCACAGGTCAACTGAGTGACACTGTCTCTTTAAACACAGGTAACACAACCCTGACCACCAGCAAATCTTGAATGAGAGTGTTTATTTTCCTATTAAATAGTGCTTTTGTTGTTATTTATAAGATTTATCCAGGTTTGTTTTGTTTCCCTCTCCAGAGCCATGTTCTCCTTCTAATGTATCCAGTCAGCGGATGTGTAGCGCTGCCACTGCGCAGGTATCCTGGCCACCTAGTGCCAACGCAGTGAACTATACCCTGGAAGCCATCAGCAGCGTACAGAACCTCACCTGCAGCAGCTCCAGCCCAAACTGCACCCTGAGTAACCTGGTCTGTGGACAGGCCTACGACATCCTTGTCACTGCCACTGATGGCACATGCGTGAGCAACTACAGTGCCCCCTTCAGACAAAACCCAGGTACAGAGAGAGACGTCTGGCCACGTTTAATCAGACACCACATCTTCTGTGACTGGGACTAACTCCCATCACAGGTTTAAATCAATAGTATGGATTTTTTAAATGTACTTTCGTCCAGGCTAAGTAACTTTAGAATAGTGTTTCTCGCAGTAATTCCCATGAAATGGACAACATTATTTGTTGTTGGGAAAATGTTGGAAACCAACATGAGGACTTTTCTCTCTCATCATAAATCCATATCATATTATTAGGCTCAAATACTGTGAGATGGTTGATGAAGCTATTGAACCTTTTTCTTTTTATCTCATTCTGCAACAATAATACACACTAACTATAACAACATGCATCAAGATAATTGTTAGATATTGTGTGTGATATATATACTTGTTACATTTCCTATTGAGGATTTCACGTGAAGATTGATAACAGAAGGTATCAATCTTCTGATCTTTTTCTCAGCAAGATAACTGCTAGCATATTTCCAAAAATGTCTGACTCCCCTAGATTCCACCGGGTCCGTCTGCGCCGCGTTACGGCTGCGCTTCAGCGTTCACAGCAATTGCGGCCACTCTAGTCAATGGGTGCTATTCCAACAGACGCGCCGCGTTACGAGAAGCGTCCCAGAAGCGTCTCGGCGATGGGCTCCGCTAAAAATAGGAGGCTGGTCTATTTTCGACGTGACGCGAGGCGTTGCATAGCGCCGGGCAGGACGGTTAGAGCATCCAGTCAATCCCCAAAATAAACACAATTTGCTAGTCCTTCAAGTAGGAGAATAAATGCCAGCGTTCTCCTCCGGTTTAAAGGCACTGTGTAAATTATATATAGAGAATAATTATGATGATGAATGCATTTTTTTTTACCACTAAAATATAGCAACACCTCTTTGATTCATGTCGTTTATAACTGGACTATTACAATTATTATTAACTTTGTCTGTGTAAAGTAGCCTGTCCAGGAAATATGCCCAAATCAACAAAAACTGCGAGCCGGCACGCAAGACGCTCCGCTTCTGAAATTCTTCTGAAACGCGCCCGGTTGGGTATGACGCTGGAGGAGGTCGGACCAAAACCGCGGCGCAGCCGTAACGCGGCGCAGACGGACCCGGTGGAGTCCCGGAATCCTTCAGGAACAAGTTTTAACTGAGAAATCACTTTTTGGAGTTATTAAAACACTGTTCTGTCTCTGTTAGTACCATGCCCTCCAGAGGACTTCAGTACAAGCCTGATGTGTGGCACGAATGATGCAACGGTCAGCTGGAACATTTCTTCGGCTGTGCCCCTCAACTACAGTGTCGCTGCTGTGCCTCTGGTTGAAAATATCAGTTCAGTCTTATGCCAAACTAGCAGTGGCAGCTGTAGGCTGATCGGTCTTCAGTGTGGAGAGACTTATAATGTGTCTGTCAAAGCTTCCTCTGGCAACTGCAGTGGACAATTTAGCCCCCCACAGACTGTTGAGACAGGTAATAAAGATGTTGATGATATAAGGATGATCATTTCCACTAAATGTGTTTTGTTAAATTCATTTACTTCAAGCACTTTGATCTTCCAACAGCACCCTGCCCCCCTCAGAGTTTAACAGCAGTGACAGACTGTGGCACAAACTCTGTCCTGGCGTCCTGGAACGCCTCTGTTGGTGCCACCTCCTACGCAGCGACAGTGATGGGCCCCAACGGCTTCTCTGAAACCTGCTCCTCTTCAAACCTCACATGCTCTGTCTCCGGCCTGCAGTGTGCCAGCCAGTACAACGCTACAGTGAAATCCCAGGGGAACTGCAGCAGCTCTCCCAGTCAAACTGTTGTGATAACAAGTTGAGTTTACATATTTTTGAACATTTTATGTAAAACGTTTTGTGACTTTACATCATGTATTTCATTCCCCCTCTCTATCTTGTCTTCCAGGACCATGTGACCCTATCAATGTGACCAGTGGCCTCCACTGCGGTTCGGATGCAGCCACGGTGTCCTGGGAAGCTGCTGCCAGGGCCGTGGCCTACACTGTACTCGCTCGAGAGGACAGCTCTCCGCATTATACTTCCTGTAGGAGCAATACGACTTCCTGTCAGCTGAACCAGCTGCAGTGCGGAAAGGTTTACAACCTGACAGTGATTGCTGAGGATGCCACCTGTAACAGCACTGGAAGCATCAGTACAATCCTGATGACAGGTAGAACAGAGGGAAACCTGGACAGCCTTAAGCTTTTAAATGCAAAAAGAGAAACTTTTTTATTTTAAGGTCTTTAGAAACAACTAATTATCCGCTTCTTTGCTCCTTCTCAGCTCCCTGCTCTCCCTCAATCCAGAACAGCACCCTCATCTGTGGCACCAATTCTTCCTCTCTGTCATGGACGCCGATGGCTGATGTCAGAAGTTACGTAGTTAATGCGACAGCACCAAACGGGCACACAGTTTCATGCAGCTCAGCTACTGCTAGATGCAACCTGACAGATCTGCTCTGCAGTCAAACCTACATGACAACAGTCATTGCACGAGGAAGCCAGTGCGACAGTGTACCTGGCTCAAGCACCAACATTACCACAGGTAAGTGCGTGAATGTTGTTAGAGAATATGAAATAGATATGCTTTCTGCTAAACCTACATCAATATACTTTGTCTTATGCTTTCTTTTCAGCCCCCTGTTCTCCAAGAATTGTATCAAAGCAATATATGTGTGGCAGCAACACAGCAGAGTTCAGTTGGACTGACCCTGTGGGACACCTCAGCTTCCTGGCTCATGTAGCAGGAGGAGGCCATCAGGATAGCTGCCAGACAACAAACACTAGTTGTTCATTCCACAATCTTCCCTGTGGCTTGGATTTAAATGTAACCGTCCAGGCTCAGGGGGAGCAGTGCATCAGCACCCACAGTGTCAGCGAATCTCTGGAAACAGGTAATTATTCCACCTATGTAGAGCTTATAAACCAGGACAAAATGAAGAAAAGTAGTACAAACTAATTATATAGGTACTGGTAAAGGATGGTTTAAAGCTGTTTTTTGTGGTGTATGATATAAAGTGTAAATGATCTCTAAAGTTTCGACACTTTACAGATCCGGGCTAACTGTCTTCGGGCTAAGCTAATCAAACCGGCTTCTTGCTTCATCTTTATATACCAACTATTGACAAGAAAGCACACTTCCCAAAATCTCAAGCAATTGAATGAACTTCTGAACCTCACAAAGTCTCAGTTGATGCACTGTTATTAAATAACTTCCTTGTTTCTTTTATTTTTGTTCCCCAGTCACGTGTGCCCCGCAGAATGTTAGCGCCACACTGGTTTGTTTCAACCACTCAGCCCTGGTCTGGTGGGTAGGAAGCCCCAGTGCTGTGGGATACAATGTGACAGTGACAGGCAGGGATGGACAAGCACACCACTGCCACACCAACACTACCAGCTGTCCACTACCTGACATCCACTGCGGTGAAACCTATAACATCACAGTCACACCATACTCTGAGACATGCACAGGACAGCAAAGTGCAGTTTACATCTTTAAAGCAGGTGCTGAAAGGCTTGAAACCATGTTCTACATCTGAGATATCCTTACATTTCAGCTCAACCTTAAACATTGTGTTCCTCTCCCCAGGTCTTTGCGCTCCCAGTAATGTCACTGTGTCTCTGGCTTGTGACGAAAGCACTGTCTCATGGTCTCATGTAACAGGGGCTGAGATATACATTGCAACAGCAACTGCAAATGATGGAAACAATCACACTTGCAGTTCTAACTATTCCAACTCGTGCAATTTCACTGACCTCCACTGTAGGGAAACCTATAATGTTACTGTTGTGACTGTAGACAGAGGCTGCTGGAGCGAGCCCAGCTCAGCCGTGGAGCTGAGAACAGGTGAGAGGACACTGTTATGCAAAAACTGTTGAAATATAGATGCAGCAATTGTGCACTGACACTTTTCTTATCCATTCTGTATTATCCTAGCTCTGTGTCCACCTACCAACTTTCTGGGCCAAGTTAGTTGTGATGCTAACACCCTGAGCCTCACATGGGACCAGAGTCAGGTGTCAGGGACCAACTACACTTTAAACACTGAGAGGATAGGCACCCCCACTCCTTCAGTGCTCACTACCTCTAATACCTCACACACTTTGACCAACCTGCTGTGTGCACAGAGATATGCTTTCCGCGTGGCAGCACAGGATGGAAACTGCCGCAGCAGCTACAGTCCGCTCATAGAAATAAGCACAGGTAGGATGTGTTTCTATGGCAACATCTGCAAGAGTTTACCTGAAGTGAAGAAAGATCATAATCTAAAATCCGTTTTTCACTTCTACCAGCTCCTTGTCAGCCAACCAACCTGACTGCCCGTGTGGACTGTGGGACAAACAGAGGGAACTTCTCCTGGTCTGAGAGCAGTGGAGCAGCTTTCTACACTGTGGAGGTGACAGGAGAGCACGGACACGTCACATCCTGCTCCTCCAATGACACCTCCTGCGCTGTGAGACTTCACTGTGGCAGGGAGTACACAGCTACACTGGTAGCTTCCACTAACAGCTGCAACAGCAGCAAACATGCTGACATTACTTTTGAGTCCGGTAAGATATAAAGGAACTGTTCCATGTCATTACATGTTACACACTTTTATCCAAAGCGACTTACATACTCAATACTGTGGACAATCACCACAGGAGCAATTTGGGGTGAAGTGTCTTT